TCCATTCAGTGCAGTGCAGTTCTTCTACCCAGAATGTCTGTACGGTCCTGTCCTCTGCAAGGTTTTACCCTTCACTTAACATGGTTACCAGCGTCTTCACCCTGGTGGCTATTAGCATTGACTGATGGATTCTGGTTGTCCATCCAGTGTGGGCCCAAAACCACCGAAGAGTACAAACAGCATTGATGATATGCTAGTCTAATTGGATGATGTCTTCTGCCTAGAGTCTGCCTGCTGCCATCGACCATAGAACTGACACTTTCAATAACAGGACCTATTGCTTTTCTTTTACAAAGAATTTTATTATACAATAGATAGGATCAAAGAAAACATATGCATTGATCAATAGAAATGAGACATACCCGGTATTTGCTGAGTGTTACAGAACAAGTACTGGTAGAGATATAGGTATAAATGGAATATTTAAGTGCCATGTATAATAAAAAAAAAAAAAAGGGGAGAAAACAATGAGTAAACATTTAGAGATTAATGATAATATAAACTCTAAGAAAAATTGTCACTGTATCAGCGTACAGAGAGTGGAAAAGGTATGAAGTGAAGTCTCTCCAAATGTAGATAGGTAATCCAAACCATGGGCACGCGGTGGAGTCCAGTTTGTGGATTTAGTGTTGCAGGTGTGGAACTCATTGCAATAATCACAATCAGTACAAGTAGCATGAGAACAGATTAGACAAGAGAACAGGGAAGGACGGTAAGTAAGGAGACGAGGACAAAAACAAATACAAAAACAATCACAAAAGGGCTCTAGGGCGATCGCAACAGAATAAGTCCTTCTATCGACAGAAGGGACTGGTCGAATCTCGATGGTTGGGCTATATCAAGCCAGGGACGCCATATCTGCAGGAATTTGCAGGCCCTCTAACCCTCATGTGCTGTTTTGTAGTTGCTGTACTGTCTCATGTATTGTCCCCCCCTCTATTGTACAGCGCTGAGCAAACCCTTTGGCGCTATATAAACTCGATGTAATGTAATAATGTAATTTTGTATGGGTGTCCAACAGTATAGCTGTCAGTTTTTCGTTAACCATTATGAAGTTCATGGACCTATTGCTTTTCAAAAAAACCACAACCTATTTGCCGTCACTTTTACACGCCTAATTTTTTTATTTCTGATTCCTGTTATAACCATTTCTGCCTGCTACACTGGTCCGGCTTTCAAAGCACGCAACATCAAATCTTTAAATGTAGGTAGAAGGACCACCAAGGTGGCATTAGGCATTGTAGTGTCATTTTTCATCACCTGGACCCCTACCACATCATGGGTGTAGTCATGCTATTCACATACAATGACGTAGTTGTAACCCTGGACATTTTCTCGCAGTCTCTGGCCCAGTTCAATAGCTGCATCAACCCGATAGTCTACATCTTCATTGGGAAAGATATGAAGAAAAGCGTGAGACAGGCTTATGAAGAGTGTGTTTCATGAAGACTTGTCAAGCTTGAGGAGCTCATCGTGCAGCAGGAGGCAAAGTGGAGAACACATACAGTTAGAGGAGCTGTAAGAATGAAGAGCTGGTGTGAGACGCTGACCTACGCCAGTAAGAATACAGGTCATCGTGGATCTTTCTCTATTTGTGGAATTTGATCGCGGTATACTTGAGCTGTGTTATGTATGTTTCAGTGACTGCTCCACATAGCACAATGTTTGTACATCTAACAGTTGGCGTTTACATGGCTTGGACTGAATACTTTGGCTTGTACACCCCCTTATTTCTGAATAAAGAATATAATTTTTTTAAAAATTCAGGTCATTGCAGGAAGTTTCCTCTTACGTTTATTAAATTAATGTCTAGTCTAGCTTTTATTTATTTTTATTAGTCCTGTAAGTCAATGCGTAAAGATTTTTATCAATACGAGTTGTGTTTCAAAACTTTTAATGTTCTATACATATCCACATGATCTAAAATACGTACATGGGGCAGTCATGTTTGCTTGTTGCTACAGTCAGGTCCATAAATATTGGGACAGCGACATAATTCTAACATTTTTGGCTCTATACACCAGCACAATGGAGTTGAAATGAAACGAACAAGATGTGCTTTAACTGCAGACTGTCAGCTTTAATTTGAGGGTATTTACATCCAAATCAGGTGAACGGTGTAGGAATTACAACAGTTTGCATATGTGCCTCCCATTTGTTAAGGGACCAAAAGTAATGGGACAATTGGCTTCTCAGCTGTTCCATGGCCAGGTGTGTGTTATTCCCTCATTATCCCAATTACAATGAGCAGATAAAAGGTCCAGAGTTCATTTCAAGTGTGCTATTTGCATTTGGAATCTGAATAATCAGAATAATAATCATAAATCAAACTTTCACTTTTTAATACTTGGTTGCAAATCCTTTGCAGTCAATTACAGCCTGAAGTGTGGAACGCATAGACATCACCAGACGCTGGGTTTCATCCCTGGTGATGCTCTGCCAGGCCTCTACTGCAACTGTCTTCAGTTCCTGCTTGTTCTTGGGGCATTTTCCCTTCAGTTTTGTCTTCAGCAAGTGAAATGCTCAATCGGATTCAGGGCAGGTGATTGACTTGGCCATTGCAGAACATTCCACTTCTTTCCCTTAAAAAACTCTTTGGTTCTTTTGCAGTCTGCTTTGGGTCATTGTCCATCTGCACTGTGAAGCGTCCAATGAGTTGTGAAGCATTTGGCTGAATATGAGCAGATAATTTCCCGAAACACTTTTGCATTCCTTCTTTTTAAGAATGTTCCAAACAGTTGTTTTGGCCACGCCTAATGTTTTTGCTATCTCTCTGATGGGTTTGTTTTGTTTTTTTCAGCCTAATGATGGCTTCACTGATAGTGACAGCTCTTTGGATCTCATCTTGAGAGTTGACAGCAACAGATTCCAAATGCAAATAGCACACTTGAAATGAACTCTGGACCTTTTATCTGCTCATTGTAATTGGGATAATGAGGGAATAACACACACCTGGCCATGGAACAGCTGAGAAGCCAATTGTCCCATTACTTTTGCTCCCTTAACAAGTGGGAGGCACATATGCAAACTGTTGTAATTCCTACACCGTTCACCTGATTTGGATGTAAATACCCTCAAATTAAAGCTGACAGTCTGCAGTTAAAGCACATCTTGTTCATTTCATTTCAAATCCATTGTGGTGGTGTATAGAGCCGAAAATCTTAGAATTGTGTCGATGTCCCAATATTTATGGACCTGGCTGTATGTTTCCTTCCTAACCCCTTGACGCCGACATCACACAAATATGCGGCCTCATGGAACTGGGCTTTTTTCCATGGGGCCACATATTTGCGTACCTGTCTTTGTGCTGGGAGTGCGCCGCTCGGCATGCTCCCAGCACAGAGACTGCGGTGTCACTGAGAGCCCCGGGTCCCGTTTTAACGATCGGGACTCGGGACTCCCGATTCCAGGTCACATGATTGCTGTGATAGCCTCTGATCAGTCACTGTACAGCCCGGCCCCCTTGCTTTTTTTTCTCTCTCTATGAATGGAGGAGAGAGATACATTATATCTCAAACTCCTGGCATAGAGAGAAAAAAAAAAAATGTCTGTAAAGAAAAATAAATAAATATTAAAACATAAAAGAAAAAATAAAGAAAAATACCTAGATCAAGGTTTGATCTAGTTCAGTGCCAGGGTTAGTGTTTGGGTCAAGGTCAGGGTCAAAGGTCAGGATTTAAAAAAAAAATGGTGTGTTTAGGTTAAAAAACAAAAGACAAAAACAAAATGCGCACTATTGTTTCTGGGCTGTACTACGGGTACAAATAACACACACATACATGGTATCACTGCGATCGTCAAGTGCTGGAAAATGTATTTTGGGTTGTTCTTTGGTGGTAGGTTATGGTCGTAACAAGAAATGCGCAGCTAAATTTAAAAAAAAAATTTTTTTTTTTTACTATTTTGGGCCAGTTTTCCTTTAATAAAAAAAAATCAGGAGCTATCCATTACCATTTACCACCAAATGAAAGCCCAATTTGTCCTGAACAAATCGCGGTATAATCCACCTGGATGTACTAAGTAGTTGTGGTGATATATACGGTTTTATGATCACATGTCAACGTTGCAGAATTGTGCTTAGGCATTTAGATTTGTTTTACCCTCAGGCATGAAGGGGTTAATATTACTGTGCTGTGTTTGAGCTTTACTGCTCTTCTTTCCTTGAATGGTCAGTAAATGGGCTGGTATCAATTCCATCTACCCAATACAGTTTATGAATAACTAAAGGTCTGCATGCTAAGAGGAAAGCCACCGCACATGGGAGAGATGACTGGTGTCCACATTCATTAGGTAGGATATGCACATGCCTCACACGGACAGCCCTCGTCTTTGACTGCCCCTTCAGGCTTGTGGATATCCTTACTAATAAATGTGGACAGATGTACCCAATATACCGTATTTTTCGCTCCATAAGACGCACTTTTTTCCCCCCAAAAAAGGGGGGAAAATGTCAGTGTGTCTTATGGAGCGAATATAAAGCGGCCGGTCCAGTATTTCTGCCGCCACCATGTCAGAATACCGGGCCGGCCGCTCAGCTGTTCTCTCCTGCAGGGCCTTACCTGTTCCTCGCTCCAGCGCTGCACAGTCTTCCCGCGCTGGCTTCTGTGACAGCCGGGTGCCCACTGCGCATGCGCTGCGCTTTGTGAATGATCCGGTGTCTTCTGGGACACATGACAGGGCCATTCACAAAGCGCAGCGCTCCTCGCACATGCGCAGTAGGCACCCGGCTGTCACAGAAGCCGGCCCGGGAAGAAGAGAGAAGGACAACTCCGCGGAAGTGGGAGCGGGTACCTGTCAAATTCAGGTACCCGCTCCCCCTCCCTCCCCAAAGGTCAGCAGTCTCTGGTCATTCCCTGCACTGTCTGCAGTCTCTGGTCATTCCCTGCACTGTCTACAGTCTCTGGTCATCCCCTGCAGTCTCTGGTCATTCCCTGCACTGTCTACAGTCTCTGGTCATCTCCTGTACTGTGTCTGCAGTCTCTGGTCATTCCCTGCACTGTGTCCGCAGTCTCTGGTCATCTCCTGTACTGTCCGCAGTCTCTGATCATCTCCTGTACTGTGTCCGCAGTCTCTGGTCATCTCCTGCACTGTGTCCGCAGTCTCTGGTCATCTCCTGCACTGTGTCCGCAGTCTCTGGTCATCTCCTGCACAGTGTCCGCAGTCTCTGGTCATCTCCTGTACCGTGTCCGCAGTCTCTGGTCATCTCCTGTACCGTGTCCGCAGTCTCTGGTCATCTCCTGTACCGTGTCCGCAGTCTCTGGTCATCTCCTGCACCGTGTCCGCAGTCTCTGGTCATCTCCTGCACCGTGTCCGCAGTCTCTGGTCATCTCCTGTACTGTGTCCGCAGTCTCTGGTCATCTCCTGTATTGTGTCCGCAGTCTCTGGTCATCTCCTGCACTGTGTCCGCAGTCTCTGGTCATCTCCTGTATTGTGTACGCAGTCTTTGGTCATCTCCTGCACTGTGTCCGCAGTCTCTGGTCATCTCCTGCACTGTGTCCGCAGTCTCTGGTCATCTCCTGTACCGTGTCCGCAGTCTCTGGTCATCTCCTGTACCGTGTCCGCAGTCTCTGGTCATCTCCTGTACTATGTCCGCAGTCTCTGGTCATCTCCTGCACCGTGTCCGCAGTCTCTGGTCATCTCCTGCACCGTGTCCGCAGTCTCTGGTCATCTCCTGTACTGTGTCCGCAGTCTCTGGTCATCTCCTGCACTGTGTCCGCAGTCTCTGGTCATCTCCTGTACCGTGTCCGCAGTCTCTGGTCATCTCCTGTACCGTGTCCGCAGTCTCTGGTCATCTCCTGTACCGTGTCCGCAGTCTCTGGTCATCTCCTGTACCGTGTCCGCAGTCTCTGGTCATCTCCTGCACTGTGTCCGCAGTCTCTGGTCATCTCCTGTACCGTGTCCGCAGTCTCTGGTCATCTCCTGTACCGTGTCCGCAGTCTCTGGTCATCTCCTGTACCGTGTCCGCAGTCTCTGGTCATCTCCTGTACCGTGTCCGCAGTCTCTGGTCATCTCCTGCACTGTGTCCGCAGTCTCTGGTCATCCCCTGTACTGTGTCTGCAGTCCATTGGTTCAGAATATTTTTTTTTCTTGTTTTCCTCCTCTAAAACCTAGGTGCGTCTTATGGAGCGAAAAATACGGTAATCAACGCATAACTAAAGGTCTGACTGGTGTCCACATTTATTAGGCAGGATATCCACAAGCTTGCCATTGACAGCCCCTGTCTAGATACCATCATGCTTGTGTATATCCTTCCTAATAAATGTGGACATCTGTGATCCCACCAGTGGGCAGTGGCTGTCTTCTCAGCACTTGGCCTGTGAGCAGGTACAGCTCATATAATCCCCGACACCCAGAGCTGAAGTGGCAGTGAGGAATATGTAAAGTAAGAAGTACTCCTGCTCTACCTTCAGTGTGAATATGTAGTTATATGTTAACCCTTTGAGGACCGTAAGGTTTTGGAACGCCAGAAGAATACTTTTTTTGTTTTTAAAGTTCGTACACTTCAGTTGCTGTAACTAAGCCATTTCATGAAATAATTGGCAAAAAGCGAGATCCATTTGTTGTTTGTTGATAAGAAATAATATTTTGACTCAAAAAAAAAAAAAAAAAGTTTTAAGTTCTAAATCAGATGATACACGCAATTACAAACATGGGACAAATACGTCCCTTGGTCCTCAAAGGGTTAACCTCCCTAGCGCTCTGATTATGTCCATATTTCTGTGCTCAAAGCGGTACATTTTTTTGCATGGAAATATGTCTTTTTTTATTGTAGGTTGTAATTTTTAGGAATAACTCACTGACATCTGTCCGTACAAGAGTAGTAAACATCCCGGGTATGATAAAACTTGAAACACGAAATCATAAATTATAATAAATAATCATAAAAAATAATATAATAATAAGTTTAATCCAATAATATAATCAAACCAAAAACACTGAAATGTGAAATAGAGCGCCAAGTTCGCACATCGCTGAGCTCAGTCGCAGAATCGTTTTCAGTGTCTGATGAGGAATTTCCCCCACCAATCATTATCACTCAATTCTGCAAGTGGTTCTGATTTACTATCGCTGTTCTCTAGCCGGTCTAAAAACCGCGTCTGACCTAAAGGGACGCTTTTTGGACGCCATGGACCTTTCTCAGTTTCCAGGCAGAAAGAACAGTAAAAATGCAGGCAGGGCGCCGGACAAAGCACTTGGGACAAAATGTATGTGAAATGGTTTGATACAGGAATGTTATACTATGTGATTTTAGTGTATTTAGTGAATGTCACTTTTTAAAATTTTCAAATCTCCTGCCGGTTGCGGTCCTTTTACGTCCCAACATCGCAGGGAACGGAACCCAGAAGCTGGCATCGGCCGGAGGAGATGGCCGGGGACGCTGCAGGGGACACATCGCAGGAGCGCAGGACAAGGTAAGTGCTACAGGGACTCCCTGAGTGTAGTTCGGGGTCACCGCTTTTGGTACTGAAACTTTACCCCGAGCTACACTTGGGAATACCGCCAGGGGGGTTAAATAATGTATAGAGAGCTGCTGCTAGCATCAAAAATTGTGTTTCTGCAACATAAATCGTAAATAAACCAATGAACTTAATGCTGCGCTGCTAATGTGAAGCGTAAATACCAAATAATCAAAAACAATGATAAAACAATAAATGAAATCATCAAATGTGCTTAATAACATTCATAAATCAGTGTGTGTGTGTTTAAAAAAAACACAATATCCAATAAGCAAGTCCGTGCAATTTAAATTGCAACAATGAATGTGGATAACATTTTACATCAACTTCCTTCACAATTCCATAGAATTTTTTGTGCGCTTGCAAAACCATCACCGTTTCTTAACCCCCCCCCCCCCGGAGGTATTCCCGAGTGTAGCTCGGGGTTAACTTTCAGTACCAGAAGCAGTAACCCCGAGCTACACTCAGGAATACCCTGCAGCATTGCTCTGGGATCCCTCCTGCACTTACCTTGTCCTGCGCTCCTGCGATGTCCCCCCTGCAATGTCCTCTGGCTGATGCCGGCATCTGTCTTCCGTCCCCTGCGAGCGTCGGGACGTACAGGGGACAGAACCGACCGGAAATTCAAAAATGTCAAAAAGTGACATTCACTAAATCCACTAAAATCGCATAGTATAACATTCCTGTATCAAACCATTTCACATACATTGTGTCCCGAGTGCTTTGTCCGGCGCCCTGTCTGCATTTTTACTGTTCTTTCTGCCTGGAAACTGAGAAACGTCCATGGCGTCCAAAAAGCGTCCCTTTAGGTCAAAAGCGGTTTTTTAGACCGGCTAGAGAACAGCGATAGTAAATCAGAACCACTTGCAGAATTGAGTGATAATGATTGGTGGGGGAAATTCCTCATCAGACACTGAAAACGATTCTGCGACTGAGCTCAGCGATGTGTGAACTTGGCGCTCTATTTCACATTTCAGTGTTTTTGGTTTGATTATATTATTGAATTAAATTATTATATTATGATTTCGTGTTTCAAGTTTTATCCTCCCCGGGATGTTTACTGGACTCTTGTTCGGACAGATTTCAGTGAGATATTCCTAAAAATTACAGGCCTACAATAAAAAAACAACACATTTCCATGCAAAATAATGTACCGCTTTGAGCACAGAAATACTGACATAATCAGACCCCTAGGGAGGTTAAAGTGCTGCATACATGCAGGTTGTCACCTCAGTGCTCACAGAACTCTCACCTTAAAAAAAAAATGAATGCGCTTATACTGACTAATAAATTTGGATTCTTCCACTTTGCCCAGTAAAAGCAAACCCAGCCTGATGTCTGCAAACCCTGAACATACCTGAACCCTACTATAGTCTCAGCATTTGCTATTTTTTCAGGCTCATGTCAAGGGCGTGGCCGGAGGCAGACATGAACCGGAAGTGTCGTACGCAGAAGTCCAGTCTGTTGCTCCATATGTGATTTTAATGGCGATTTTTACAAGTGTAAACATGTAATTGCAATACTTTTATTAATGTATTTATTGGAACATACTGCACTATTGGAGATCCCTCTGTTTCCCTTTCATGAGTGAAGGAAATTTGATCCCAAGCGACCCTTAGGGCTCATTCACACTTGACTTTATTTCTAACTCTTGCCAAACGCCCCTATAGCATTTGACAACTCTCCAAAAACGCTGTATGCGTGGTTTTGCAGCGGTTGGTAGGCGTTTGCCAAGCGTTAAAACCGCACCACAAATGCCTGTAATGAAGTTTAAATGGTATTAATGCTCTGCAAATGCCTCGCAACCGCACACGCCAGCCAGGCGTTTGCGGAGCTGCTCCATAGACTTGAACGGGAGGCTTCAACCCCTCCTGACTCCACCAGAGGCGTCTGTTTTGCCGCTATGCGACGCTAACGCTTCCGTGTGAACAGCACTGTGTGCTGCCATGTGCAGAATTTTCAGAGGCGTTTGGGAAGCGTTAAAAACGCTTCCAAACGCCTGCTGATAGAGCTAGTGTGATTGTAGCCTTAAAGGGACCGGTCTTGCAACCGGGTTCGGAGACCAGGAGATAGGAAGGAGCAGGGGCGGACTGACAACTCATAGGGCCCCCGGGCAATAGGGCATCATGGGGCCCCTGTGTCCTTGCCCAAACTCAAAAAAGCCTATGAAAAAGGTACCAGGGGCATCTCATGGGGCCCCCTACTGACCCCGGGCCCTCGGGCAGTGCCCAGTTTTCCAAATGGTCAGTCCGCCCCTGGGAAGGAGGGCCCCCAGTGGTTATAAAGTGGTGGAGGACCAGGAGAGTGGAGGAATCCCTGTTTATTAATCAATGTAAGCACATTCATTTTTTTCTTTTTTAAGGTGAGAGTTCTGTGAGCACTGAGGTGGCACAACCTGCATGTATGCAGCACTTTAGGAAACGGTGATGGTTCTATGGAATTGTGAAGGAAGGTGATGTAAAACCTTATCCAGATTCACTGCTTCAATTTAAATTGTAGGCACTTGCTTATGAGAACATTGTGTTTTCTAACATTTAAATCTATACTGTGATTTTTGCACATTTGATGATTTCATTCATTGGTTTATAATTGCTTTTGATTATTTGGTATTTATGCTTCACATTAGCAGCGCAGCATTCAGTTCATTGTCAGTGAGGAACAGCAGCCTAGAGTGAAGAATTTTTATGTCCAAGCGTCTAAAAGGTCTACATGGTCACTAAAGATGACTTGAAAGTAACTAAAGGTCTAAATGGTCCTAGGAAAATATGGGGTTTATGTACTAAAACCGGAGCACTCAGAACCTGATTGATTACCATGCACAGCTGCACCAGATTCTAACTTCAGCTTGTTCAATTGGGCTTGGACAAAACCTGGAAGCTGATTGGTTTCTGTGCAGAGTGCGCCAGATTTGCACCATGCAATTTTAGTAAACAACCCCCCCCAGCATGTCAACTGGTGTAAGAGCAGTGCTTACAGTGAGCTAATGAAAACATTAGTAAAGCTTTTGGTAAGCAGCTCTGTTGAAGCCGTTAAAAGAAAACGTTAGTTCCAGTATGGGGATGTCAAACACAGATCTTAGTGGGAGTGCCAACTATCCCTTTAACCAAGCTGCTAGCAGGCTTTTCAACAAGAGTCAAGTGGTATTGAAGTCTACTAGCAGCCTAGTTAACCTCCCTGGAGGTATTCCTGAGTGTAGCTCGGGGTAAAGTTTCAGCACCACAAGCGGTAACACCGAGCTACACTCGGGAATACACTGCAGCATTGCTCCAGGATCCCTCCTGCACCTACCTCGTCCTGCGCTCCCACGATGTCCCTCCTGCAGTGTCCCCGGCAATGTCCTCCGGCCGATGCCGGCATCTGTCTTCCGGGTGTGTTCCCTGCGATGTCGGGACGTACGGGGGACGTAACTGGTGGGAAATTTAAAAATATGAAAAAGTGACATTCACTCAATACACTGAAATAACATAGTAAAACATTCCTGTATCGAACCATTTCACATACATTTTGTCCCGAGTGCTTTGTCCGGCGCCCTGCCTGCATTTTTACTGTTCTTTATGCCTGGAAACTGAGAAACGTCCATGGCGTCCAAAAAGCGTCCCTTTAGGTCAGACGCGGTTTTAGACCGGCTAGAGAACAGCGATAGTAAATCAGAACCACTTGCAGAATTGAGTGATAATGATTGGTGGGGGAAATTCCTCATCAGACACTGAAAACGATTCTGCGACTGAGCTCAGCGATGTGCGAACTTGGCGCTATATTTCACATTTCAGTGTTTTTGGTTTGATTACATTATTGAATTAAATTATTTTTATTATAATATTATTATTATGATTATTTATTATATTATGATTTTGTGTTTCAAACTTTATCCTCCCCGGGATGTTTACTAGACTCTTGTTCGGACAGATTTCAGTGAGTTATTCCTAAAAATTACAGCCTACAATAAAAAAAACAACATATTTCCATGCAAAAAAATGTACCGCTTTGAGCACAGAAATACTGACATAATCAGACCCCTAGGGAGGTTAAAGTGCTGCATACATGCAGGTTGTCACCTCAGTGCTCACAGAACTCTCACCTTAAAAAAAAATGAATGCGCTTATACTGACTAATAAATTTGGATTCTTCCACTTTACACAGTAAAAGCAAACCCAGCCTGATGTCTGCAAACCCTGAACATACCTGAACCCTACTATAGTCTCAGCATTTGCTATGTTTTCAGGCTTATGTCAAGGGCGTGGCCAGAGGCAGACATGAACCGGAAGTGACGTACGCAAAAGTGCAGTCTGTTGCTCCATATGTGATTTTAATGGCGATTTTTACAAGTGTAAACATGTAATTTATTGGAACATACTGCACTATTGGAGATCCCTCTGTTTCCCTTTCATGAGTGAAGGAAATTTGATCCCAAGCGACCCTTAGGGCTCATTGACACTTGACTTTATTTCTAACTCTTGCTAAAACGCCCCTATAGCATTTGACAACTCTCCAAAAACGCTGTATGCGTGGTTTTGCAGCGGTTGGTAGGCGTTTGCCAAGCGTTAAAACCGCACCACAAATGCCTATAATGAAGTTTAAATGGTATTAATGCTCTGCAAATGCCTCGCAACCGCACACGCCAGCCAGGCGTTTGCGGAGCGGCTCCATAGACTTGAACGGGAGGCTTCAACCCCTCCTGACTCCACCAGAGGCGTCTGGAGAAATATTCATGCATTGCAGAAATATATTACGGAGGTGGTTTTTATACACGTTATATATTTATTTTTTTCATAGTGTACTTTTATTTCTTTAGTTTACTTCTAACCTACATAAGTTGCTGAGCTAAAGAAAATGAACGTGAAGACACCAACTAGAATGTCTGACACGGAGATTTAAGATGCTGATAGGTTCTGTTTTCAGTTGTTACAGATAAAAGTGGCACAGCCCCTATCCTTTCAAGATCGGGGGGGTGAGTACTTTTCTACATTTCTGATTATATATGTTCCTTCTGCATTGACGATGTGGAGGAAATGACCATTGTAGCTTTTCATTATCTTCATCTAACAAAATGATTGAAAATGTGGATTGTGTATATTAATATACTAATGGGGGTCTGTGAGCATTCTGTAAAGGATGATTGAATAATGACATGTTGAGTATCTATAAAAGGGACACCCCTCCCCCAAGATATCGTTCAGTCACCCCTATGGCTTCATATATTCCCTAAAGCGAGGTCTCTGTGCTACAGCTACTGGCTCTGCTTGGGCTTTCATTTTACTTAACTTTGTGTGTTCCAGCGCCTCCTGTTGCATTTTCCATAAAGTAAAAGCAGCATAAAATCAAACAGGGATGGGGTGGGAACCCCTCATAAAGGACACTGCAGGTGTACAGACCCGGGAACTCAGCACAGGGATGGTGGAATCCTTCATAAAGGGCACTGCAGGTGTACAGACCCGGGAACTCAGCACAGGGATGGTGGGAATCCTTCATAAAGGGCACTGCAGGTGTACAGACCCGGGAACTCAGCACAGGGATGGTGGGAATCCTTCATAAAGGGCACTGCAGGTGTACAGACCCGGGAACTCAGCACAGGGATGGTGGGAATCCTTCATAAAGGGCACTGCAGGTGTACAGACCCGGAACTCAGCACAGGGATGGTGGGAATCCTTCATAAAGAATCCTTCATAAAGGGCACTGCAGGTGTACAGACCCCCGGGAACTCAGCACAGAAATGGTGATGAACCCCTCATAATGGGCACAGCAGGTGTACAGACCTGGGAACTCAGCACAGGGATGGGGAGAACCCCTTAATGGACACAGCTGGTGTACAGACCTGGAAACTCAGCACAGGGGTGGTGATGACCCCTCATAATGGGCACAGCGGGTGGACAGACCCAGGAACTCAGCACAGGGATGGTTAGAACTCCTCTTAATGGGCACAGCCGGTGTACAGACTCGGGAACTCAGCGCAGGGATTGTGAGAATCACTCAAAATGAGCACAGCGGGTGTGCTTACCTGGGAACTCAGCACAGGGATGGTGGAAACCTCTCATAATGGACATGGCAAGTGTACAGACTCGGGAACTCAGCACAGGGATGGTGGAAACCCCTCATAATTGGCACAGCAGGTATACAGAGTTGTGAACTCAGCACAGGGATGGTGGAAACCCTTCATAATTGGCACAGAAGGTATACAGAGTTGGGAACTCAGCACAGGGATGGTGGGAACCCCTCATAACAGGCACACCAGGTGTACAGACCTGGTAATATAGTGAGGGAATGGTAGAAGCCCCTCATAATGGAATGAAGCTTTAATCCCCAGTATGTACAAACTGATTTTAACAGAGACTCAGAAAACATTGAAGCCAAGGCATTATCATTCTATCTGGGGAGCGAACAATCCCAAGGGAGAGGCCAGCAATGGCAGCCGTATAGTGTACTCATATCAGAGTCACGGACATATCTAGAGGAACGGTTTAGTTGCACACTTGCAGCCATTGCCGGTTGAAGCCGACCAGTTAGTCATTGTGAAAGGACGATTCCATTTCCACATATTGTATATAATTGTACATTTCCCTTCTACAGAAAGGATGTCATATACAGCTGAGATTCTCCATTCTGGTATCACCAGGACCAACGAGGACCACCCATCAGACAAACACTACTCCTATCACATGGAACCATCGTCTTACACAACCTGGCCTAGTTTAGGTGAAACTTCTGATTAAAGGATTACAGGACCCACAGGAAGGAAGTTGTGTTATCATCGCTGTTATGTAAAGTGATTCAGAAAAATCGAATCATCGCTATATTCTGAGGAGGGAGAAGGTTCCATCTGCTGAGGACTGGTGGAGGTAAGACCTGGCCCTGAAGAGGTCATTCCAGCATGGATGGGCACCATTACCTCTACTAATGGTCTCCATGTTTTCTGTACTCTCTGCTCAGAGCTCCGATCTAACTAGAGAGGTAATCGCTCTGGATGGGGATAATGTCAGTTCTCACTGGCTCTTCACCTAAATCAGGGGTGGGCAACTGGGGCCCTCCAGCTGTTGAACTACAAGTTCCATCATGCCTCTGCGAATCATGCTTGTAACTGTCAGTTTTGCAATGGCTCATGGGACTTGTAGTTCTACATGAGGCATTGCAAAACTGACAGTTACAAGCACGACTCCCAAAGGCAAAGGTATGATGGGACTTGTAGTTCACCAACAGCTGGAGTGCCACAGTTGTCCACCCCTGACCTAAATGGTTCATATACCTAAATATCTACATTCATTGGGTGCGTATAACGGTCAGTGAGATCTCCCGAGAGTCCTGGTTTTTATTTAACTCTCCAGACAGCAGGATTCCAGGTAGGAGTTATTGGGAGAGGGAGAAAGGGGGGGGGGGGGGGGAGAGGGTGAGATAGAAGTGGGGGGATAAGAGGGTGAGATAGAAGTGGGGGGGGTAAGAGGGTGAGATAGAAGGGGGGGGGGGGGTAAAAGAGGGAGCGGAAGGTAGAACATGAGAAGGAGAGAGGGGCAGGAGAAGAGGGTGAGGTGGGAAGAGGGGAGAACAAAAAGAGGAAGAGATGCAAAAGGTAGGAAAGATACAAAATTAAAAAATAGAGAAGGAGAAAGAAATACAATGGTACAGACAGAGAGAGAGAGAGAGAGACAGAGAGAGAGAGAGAGAATTATGAATACAAAGGTGAGAGATGAGTGGAAGAGAGAGAGAGCAGAAAGATAAAAAGGCCAGAAGAGGAGAGTGAGATGAACAGAGAGAGGAGAAAAAGAGATACAATGGTATGAAAGAAAAAAAAAAAAAGAGAGTGGAGAGATACAAAGGATAGAGAGAGATGAAGAAAGAAAGGGAGAGAGGAGAGATACAACAGTGTGAGGAAAAAAAAGAAAAGGAGATCGACACACAGGAAAAAAAAGAGAGGGGGGAGGAGAGAGAGCGCGGAAAAGAAAGAAAGATACAATGGTATGAGAGAAAAAGAAAAGAGAGTTACAAAGGAGAGAGATAAAGAAAGGGAGATATAGCAGAAAGAAAGATATAAAGGAAAGAGATACAACAGTATGAGAAAAAAAAGAGATGCAAAGGAAACAGATAAAATTAGAAGATACATAGAGAGAGAGAGAGAAGGAGAAAGAGATACAATGGTACAAGAGAAGAGAAAAAGTGATACAAAAGGTAAGAGAGAGACATGAAGACAGAAAGGGAGAGAGAAGAGAAAGATGTTATGGTACAAGAGAAGATAAAAGAGAGGGGGGGGGGGGAGAGAGAGAGATAATGGTACAAGAGACATAGGTGAGAGAGAGTGATATGGAAAGGACAGATAGGAAAAGAGAGTGAGACAGAAATTGGGAAGGTGGTGGCAGAGAGGGGGGTATTACAAAGGTAAAAAAGGAGAGACAGACACAGAGGAAGGAAGATGGTGAGCTAGAAAAGGGGGAGGGGGAGAAAGGGGGGAGGACGTGATAGAAAGGTGAAGGGAGAAAGGTGTGAGATAGAGAAAGGAGGGAAAAGAGTTAAGCTGGCCATACACTGGAAGATTTTTGCGTGAAATTTTTCATTTTCAGGACTTTTGTTTGAGTTTGTTTGTAGCACTGACCCCCAAACTGGTCTTGCAGTTTTGTCCCATGTTCTGTTCCCTGTTGGGTGCACGGCAGCCAGGCACACAGCAACTCCACAGTCTCTCAACTCAATAACCAGGCAATGAGGGTCCTTTTGAAGTCTAAAGCTGGTTAAACTTGAACAAAGTGTAGGGTGAGCCTTGGGATACTACAGATTTGGTGAATGCTGTAGCAGAGAACGCTCTCTGGTAATGCCTAGACTCTTCAGGGTGGACCTCCTGTGACTAGTAGTAGATGGACAAACAGTTCAGGGGACTGCAACTATAGACGCACTCCTAAGCCAGCAACTCTAGAATAGTCTCTCTAAGGATCTCTCTCTCAGGCCTCTACTTACTGTGTCCATGTTTACATAGATGCCTCCTTCCATTACCAGCCAGACCCTGTACCATGAGCCTCCAGGCCAGATCTACAGTAGACTTCCTCCAAACTTTATCACCCAGGGATTGGCTGTATGAATATGGGGGTACAGGGTCTGCCTCTTCCAACCCACTACACTAGAATCCACAGGAAAACAGGGCAGTAGTTGAGGTCTGAAGAAGGAGCCTATTGAGCATGCTCCGAAATGCATTACCGCCCCCTTCACCTGCCACATCTGACTCTGTTCTCCAAGCATCATTTTTGAGGCACAGGCACATCCTGGACTCTACTTCCTGATCCTATAGGCAGAGTTTGCTGCTGGACGGCTGATGTCCCACCTGGATCCAATCACCACACGATGAGTCTTTTTAACCGTTTATCTTGTAAGTGCAAATTTTCCATTGTTTACTTAATAAATTGTCAATACTGCACTTAGAGGCGCCTTCCTCTCTTTTTTTTGTTACTGCATTAGAGCCTTGCTTCCACTCTAAGAAGAGCTGCCTCGGTGTTACTGCTCCCATCCATCCATCCATCCCTGATATCCATCTGGCACCTTTATCTTACAGCTACAGAGGTTGGGCTCCAACAAGCGCCCTATATAATATACATTTTCCAGTAGTTGAGCCTGCAACCAGCAGAACCCAAAACAGCCAGAAGCAATCACACTCTTCTCCCCTGGCCACAGCAGAGCCAAAAACCAAATCTACCTTATTCCTAGTAACAACCTAACTAGGAGGGCACTACATCATGGTTATTGAGGTTAAACTGACATTCTTTTTTCAACCATGGTGGCAAGAAAAGTCAAAGGAGCAGGTTGGAAAATTTTCCTCAAATTAACAAATTTCTAACAGTGAATGTGGTTGTCATTTGGGGAATTACATTCATTCCTAAACTGAATGTTAAAAGTAAACTTTGGGGGGGGGGGGGGGGGGGTTGGTGGGGGGGGGGGGGGGGGGGGTGGGGGGGGGGGGGGGGTTTGGGGGTTGGGGGGTGGGGGTGTTTGTGGGGGGGGGGGGGGGGGGGGTGGGGGGGGGGGGGGGTATTTTTGTTGTTGGTGTTTGTGTTGGTGGGGGGTTATTTATGGGGGTGGGGGGGTTGGGGTTTGTGTTGGGGTTTTGCTTTTTTATTTGTGTTGGTGGGATGGGGTGTTGGTGTTTGTGTTGGTGGTGTTGGTTGTGGTTTTGCTTTTGTTGTTTGGGGGGGGGGGGTGGGGTGGGGTGGGGATGGGGTGTTTGGTGTCAGTAGTAGTTTTTGTTTTTGTTGTTGGTGTCTGTGTTGGTGGTGAAGGTGGTGGTGGGGGGTTTGTGTGGGGGTGTTGGGGGGGCTGCACCAGGGTTTCCATGCTCCAGACTTAGTAAATAACCCCCATTGCTTCCTTCAAGAAGACGAGATACTGATCACACACGTCCAGTAACTATCTTGTGTCTTTATAGGGAATAAAGATGTCAAATATCAGCAATGTGACGGACACAACAGAGTCTTTGAGCTATGAAAATGCTTTCATCATCCTGGTTCTATTTTTCATTTTCCTTGTGGGGGTCCCCGGCAACGCTCTGGTGCTTTGGGTTACCGGAATGAAGATGAAACGCAGAGTCAGCACCGTTTGGTTTTGGAACCTTGCCCTGGCCGACATCATCTGTTGCTCCTTTGTCCCACCCATCCTAGCCAATATCTTTTATTCCCGTTGGTTATATGGAAAAGCTTTGTGCAAAATTTTACCCTGTATCCTCATCTTCAATATGTTCTCCAGCGTCTTCACCCTGGTGGCCATCAGCATTGACCGATGCATCCTGGTGGTCTGGCCTGTGTGGGCCCAAAATCACCCGAGGCATCTCACCGCCGCTTAAGAACGGCGTGGATCGTCTGCTTGGTTATCTGGATTGTGTCTGTCATAATGGGTCTACCTGCTGGCATCTACCGGACAATAAAGATTGAGAACAACAGAACTTTATGCATCTATATGAACAATTTCATGGTTCCCATCACTCTTACTCGAATGGTTTTTGGATTTCTGATTCCTTTCATCATCATCTCTAGTTGTTACATCCGTCTGGCTTTTAAAGCACAAAATATACGTCTTTTAAAAGCAGGAATAAAAACCACCAGAGTGGCCCTTGCCATCATAGTAGCATTCTTCATCACCTGGGCTCCATACCACATAATGGGAATGCTTATGCTGTACACTGAAGATGAACTTGTGGTTTCCCTGAATGCTCCAGCCCAGGCTTTGGCTCACTTTAATAGTTGTATTAACCCGATACTGTACGTCTTCTTGGGCAAAGACATGAAGAGTAAAGTACGGCAGTCCCTTCGAGGGCTAATGGAAAATGCATTTAATGAAGATGCATCAAGAATGACCACGTACTACAGGAGCAAATCCTCGTCCAAAGAGCACTCTTGTGTTGAGCGACAGTAGGACCGTAGTACTGAGTAAGATGGACATTTATACCAATGCGGTTAATAAAATCCCAATTCCAAGAATTGGGATCTAAACTTCCACTGCAAGGAATACATACCCATTATGTCTAGGGGTGTCTGAATAAGCAGAAAATACTCACCTTTGAGGTGTGATTGGTCCCTGCAGCTTCATCTCTAAGGCTAGGTTCACACTGCGGGTTGGTTGCAGGTGTGGGTATCAATGCAATTTCTGCACCCGCAGCCACATCGCGTTTCTCTTGGGAGACACGGGGAGGGAGGCGTGACCACACGGCATCTCATCCCGCAGCGCGATCGTCAAAAAGACCATGTGGTTTCTGCATGGATGCACTTTTTCTTTGTGTAAAATGTAGCCACCGCAGCCCATTCAAACTTTCTAAACAAAGAGGCAGAGGAATAGAAGCCCCATCACTGGTATCAGTTGGCAGAATAGTGCCCCATCATTGGTGTCAGTTTGAGGAATGGTGCCCCATCATTGGTGTCAGTGGGAGGAATGGTGCCCCATCATTGGTGTCAGGGGGAGGATTGGTGCCCCATCATTGGTGTCAGGGGGAGGATTGGTGCCCCATCATTGGTGTCAGGGGGAGGATTGGTGCCCCATCATTGGTGTCAGGGGGAGGATTGGTGCCCCATCATTGGTGTCAGGAGGAGGAATGGTGCCCCATCATTGGTGTCAGGGGGAGGAATAGCGCTTCATCATTGGTATTAGTGGGAGGATGAGCCCCATCAATAGGTGTCTGTGGGAGGAATAGCGCCCCATCATTGGTGTCAGTGGGAGGAATAGCGCCCCATCATTGGTGTCAGTGGGAATAATAGCGCCCCATCATTGGTATCAGTGGGAGAAATAGCGCCCCATCATTGGTACCAGTGGGAGGAATAGCGCCCCATCATTGGTACCAGTGGGAGGAATAGCGCCCCATCATTGGTATCAGTGTGTCCAATAATTGGTGTCAGTGGGAGGAATAGCCCATTGGTATCAGTGGGAGGAATAGTGCCCCATCATTGGTGTCAGTGGGAGGAATAGCGCCCCATCATTGGTATCAGTGGGAGGAATAGTGCCCAATAATTGGTGTCAGTGGGAGGAATAGCGCCCCATCATTGGTATTATTGGGAGGAATAGTGCCCCATCATTGGTGTCAGTGGAAGGAATAGTGCCCCATCATTGGTGTCAGTGGGAGTGGGACCCCTAGCAGCCTGCCCCAATTTACATACCTATTCTCAAGAAAAGTATAAATAGTTGATAGCATTAAACATATACAGTATTTATAAGTACTTTCAATAAAATTGATTTTAAACAATAGGAAAACATGCCATAAAATCAAAGACTAATCAACACAAAGGGCACAGTACAGGGGCAGGGCATAATACTGGTTCTGGGATGCTACCCGGGCTATCCTGGGACAGTTTAGTAAAGAAAGTGACTATCCAGTTGGAAAGCATGATGTAATGCAAGATTATCCTGGGGAGTGCCCATACATTAAGACAGCCCTGGCCATCATTGGTGTCAATGAGGTAAATAGTGCCCCATCATTGGTGTCAATGGAAGTAATAGTGCCCCATCCTTGGTGTCCGTAAAAGAAACAGTGCCCAATTGTTGGTGTCAATGGCAGGAATAATGCCTCAAAGACCAGATAAAAGGCAAGTAAATGGCTGCATCTGGCCCCAGTCCACAGTTTGGAGACCACTGTTTAAGATCATTCCAGTAGCAATCACACTCAGCCCCCACCACATAAGATATGGGGTTAATAGCCCTGCATTGTAGGTGGTGATGCCGAGGGACCACCTACAGATCGGAGTTTCAGAGCTGGCCAGAGCAGGAGAGAGGACCAGCAACAAGACATAATGAACATTATTATAAGGGGGAGGCCACTGCAAGGGCAGATTTTTTCTCATGCCTGGAGTTGGCAGTGAATGTATAGTCATAACCTTGATTTATTTAGTTGGATAGAGTGTTTCACTGGCTACATATGTCTATTTTAGGAGACTTCCATTCACTTCCTGTCCCGGAGATGCAACAGGAGGCAAGAGAAAACCTGTACAAAGTGAGGGGAAGTCCCCTGGAAGACAGTTTTTTGGCGGAATAGGCATCTCCAAAGGACAATTTGGCCTCTTGTTCTGGTGGCAGCTGCAGGACTTTGGATTTTCCAACACTCTCAATCTCAATGACCATGGTCACCAGGACAGAGATGGTGAATATGTCCAGCAGAAAACAGCACCAGGGGGCAGGAAAAATGTGACAGGGGCCCTAATTTAGCTCTGAAGATACCCCTATTTAATAGGAATCACTGTGGTACCCTGGTGCCAACCTGTGGCCCTTTGGCTCTTTTTTGGGACCCTGTAGGCACCATTCTGTGTTTCCCTATTGCCTTGTTAAAGTAGCGACTTCTACCAGTTCATTTCAAGTGTGCTATTTGCATTTGGAATCTGTTGCTGTCAACTCTCAAGATGAGATCCAAAGAGCTGTCACTATCAGTGAAGCCATCATTAGGCTGAAAAAACAAAACAAACCCATCAAAGAGATGGCAAAAACATTAGGCGTGGCCAAAACAACTGTTTGGAACATTCTTAAAAAGAAGGAACGCGCCGGTGAGCTCAGCAACACCAAAAGACCCGGAAAACAACTGTGGTGGATGACTGAAGAATGCTTTCCCTGGTGAAGAAAACACCCTTCACAACAGTTGGCCAGATCAAGAACACTCTCCAGGAGGTAGGTGTATGTGTGTCAAAGTCACCAATCAAGAGAAGACTTCACCAGAGTGAATACAGAGGGTTCACCACAAGATGGAAACCATTGGTGAGCCTCAAAAACAGGAAGGCCAGATTAGAGTTTGCCAAACGACATCTAAAAAAGCCTTCACAGTTCTGGAACAACATCCTATGGACAGATGAGACCGAGATCAACTTGTACCAGAGTGATGGGAAGAGAAGAGTATGGAGAAGAGAAAGGAACTGCTCATGATCCTAAGCATACCACCTCATCAGTGAAGCATGGTGGTGGTAGTGTCATGGCGTGGGCATGTATGGCTGCCAATGGAACTGCTTCTCTTGTATTTATTGATGATGTGACTGCTGACAGAAGCAGCCGGATGAATTGTGAAGTGTTTCGGGAATATTATTTGCTCATATTCAGCCAAATGCTTCACAACTCATTGGACGCTTCACAGTGCAGATGGACAATGACCCAAAGCAGACTGCAAAAGCAACCAAAGAGTTTTTTAAGGGAAAGAAGTGGAATGTTCTGCAATGGCCAAGTCCATCACCTGACCTGAATCCGATTGAGCATTTCACTTGCTGAAGACAAAACTGAAGGGAAAATGCCCCAAGAACAAGCAGGAACTGAAGACAGTTGCAGTAGAGGCCTGGCAGAGCATCACCAGGGATGAAACCCAGCGTCTGGTGATGTCTATGCGTTCCACACTTCAGGCTGTAATTGACTGCAAAGGATTTGCAACCAAGTATTAAAAAGTGAAAGTTTGATTTATGATTATTATTCTGTCCCATTACTTTTGGTCCCTTAACAAGTGGGAGGCACATATGCAAACTCTTGCTCATTTCATTTCAAATCCATTGTGGTGGTGTATAGAGCCAAAAATGCTAGAATTGTGTCGATGTTCCAATATTTATGGACCTGACTGTAGCAATAAAGTTAAATGAAAAGAAATTTAACTGAGTACACAAAAATGATACAAATTAAAGAGGGGCATGTTAGGTATCTAGTTACTTGCCGTAACATCCTCTTTCATATTTTGCAAAAGAAAAAATTGGATAAATTTATTTTTAATTCATTAAAGTGTATTTAAAAATAAAAAAAATAAAAAAAACATTGCTTTTCAAAATACCATCACATTATCTAGGGTCATTGCTAAAATATATATATATAAATGTTTGGGGGTTCTAAGTAATTTTAGCAAAAAACTTGTAAACAAAAACATGCCAGACAATACTTGGTCTTCTGCACTGTGAGCCCCTGATGAAGAAGTGAATAGCAGTGAAACATGGTGGGTAATGGGAAAAGGAAAAAAAAATTAATGGATACCAAGGATGGAAATGTATTTAGGAGATAGTTAACCCTTTGATCGCCCCAGATGTTAACCCCTTCCTGCCCAATGTCATTAGTACAGTGTCAGTGCTTTTTATTAGCACTGATCACTGTATTGGTGTCACTGGGGATGTCAGTGGCAGTTAGTCAGTCCACCCACCAGTGTCAGAATGCCTTCCGCAGTCCCGCTACAAGTCGCCAATCGCTGCCATTACCAGTATTAAAAAAAAAAAAATCCCAGTATCTATACCTCCATTTTTAGACGCTATAACTTTCACGTAAACCAATTTACACGTATTGGGATTTTTTTTAGCAAACACATGGAGCAGAATATATTTTGGCCTAAATTTATGACGAAATGTAATTTCTGAAATTTTTTTTACTCAACAAGTTTATTAGCAACAGGCAAATATTGTTATTTTTCCTCAAAATTGTCGGTCTTTTTTGTTTATAGCGCAAAAAGTAAAAAACCGCACAGGTGATCCTATACCACCGAACAAAAGCTAAATTTGTGGGGGGAAAAAGGATGTAAATTTCACTTGGGTGCAGCGTTGCATGACCGCACAATTGTCAGTTAAAGTACCTGTGATGGGAGTGACTTTTAGGGGTGGGGGACCTCTGTGTCAGCTCATATTCCCTTCATTATATTTAACCCACCCTGTGCCTGTTAAGGGGTACAGGGTGTGAATGTCTGAGTATTGTGTATTGGTGTGGGGATTGTCCTTCGTTCCCTGCCATGTGGTTGTCCATTGTTCTCTGCCATGTGCTGCATCCCATTGTTCTGTGTCTTGGTTGGGTGAGGGGTGTTTCCTGTAGCCCTTCCCACGGATGGGGCGGGCTGATGATGTGTTTCCTGTAGCCCTTCCCACTGATGGGGCGGGCTGATGATGTGTTTCCTGTTCCTGGTTGTGTTTCCCCGCATGTGTATATATCTTGTGTTTGTGTAAAAATAAAGTAGTTGACTTCCTGTCTTAAAAAGAGTCTGGTGCTATTTCCTGCATGATCAGTGGGTGGTGTCCGGGAATTTGTGTTTGGACAGGGAAGCTGGAGTATAGCGGAAATAAAAAATGGCCTGGTCAGGAAGGAAGAAGGGGGTGGGGAATCCTTTGAGGACAATGGGTTAAAAAAATTTAAAGACACCCCCATCCACATATCACAAATGTGAGGATGGGGGTGACCATTGTCTGATTATGCGATTAGCTCCTATCGGATGGTTCTCTGTATAAATACAGTACATTCCACCAACCCCTAGCCCTCCTGAGGATTCCCTTCCCCCTCCCCTTCCTAACCAGGACATTTCGCTGCGTTACTTTAACTGACACATGCATGCAACGCTGCACTTAATTGAAATTGAATATCTTTTTTCCCACAAATTAAGCTTTTGGTGGTATTTGATCGCCTGTGCGGTTTTTATTTTTTTCACTATAAGCAAAAACAAACAAAAAAAAAAGGACCAGCAATTTAGAGAAATAAAATATTTTGGACTTTTTGCTATTAAACACGTCCAGTAAAGAAAAAAAAAAAAAAAATCAAATTTTGTCATAAATTTAGGCCAAAATGTATTCTGCTCCATGTCTTTGCTGAAAAAAAAATCCCAATACATGTCAATTCATTGGTTTATGTGAAAGTTGTGGCGTTTACAAATGACGGTATATATAATGGGATTTTTTTCCCTACTAGTAATGGCGGCGATCAACAACTTTTAGTGGGACTGCGGCGGGCATTCTGACACTAAGGGGAACTGACATGGTGTCACTGAAAACCCCAGTGACACCAATACAGTGATCAGTGCTAAAAAACAGCACTGACACTGTACTAATAGCACTGGGCAGGAAGGGGTTAACGTGATGGGCGATCAAAGGGTTAACTGTGCGTTTTACTAGGGGGCGGTGGTGTGTGTGTTC